CCTATCATTAGGAAAGGTCCATTTCAAGCCTTCCACATGGTCAGAGAGTCGCTAAATATCTGTTGACTCGGAAGTGGAAAAGGCCTGGAATTAGAACTTCGGAATAAGGAACTTGTAGATGGGCTTGGTGCACCTCGTTAGGTAGAACTCCTGCTATTCTGGGTCCGTTCTTGTCTGCAATCAAGGAATGAGTCTCACAGTGTCGTGTCTGGAAAGCCGACATTTTCAGCTCTGCCTATGGAAAGCCTTACTCAAACGTTGTACAGCTGTGGCTCCTTCCTTCCATTTCCCTCTCCCTCTCTCTTCCTTCTTTCCTTCTATCCATCTCCCCAACCATCTATCCATCCAACTCCCCCTCCCTCTCCTTCCTTCCTTCCTTCCTTCCTACCTTCCTTCCTTCCTTCCTTCCTTCCTTCCTACCTTCCTACCTTCCTTCCTTCCATTTCCCTTCTCACTCCTTTCCTTCCATCCATCCATTTTCCCCTCCCTCCCTCTCCTTTCTTTCCTTCTATCCATTTACCTATCCATCTATCTGTCCATCCTTGGGGTTCAGTGGATGGAGAGATCCAAGGAAAAGCCAGCTCAGATTGGAAGCAAGCGTCTCTCAACTGGCTTTGCAGGTCTGTCTGTCTGTCTGTCTGTCTGTCTGTCTGTCTGTCTATCTATCTATCTATCTATCTATCTATCTTTATAAAGTATATATATATATATATATATATATATATATATATATATATATATATATATATATATATATATATATATATTTGTTTTCTGAGGTTTTCGCGGGTATTTGTATGTAGGTCTTTGGTTGTTCGGGTTTTCTCCCACGTAAAATTGGAAGTGTCTTGGCGACGTTTCGACGAAGTCCCATTCGTCATCTTCAGGCTGGTGCTTTCAGCTTCGTGCTTGAGCAGCAATGTGTGGTCTTAGCTGTTTCTTCCTTTTAACTGCCAGTGGGGGTATGAACTGATTGGGTGGGAGCTTGGTGTGTTCTGATTGGGTGGAGGTGTGTTCTGAATGGTTAGGGGCTTGGCTGTGCTCTGATTGGCTGGGGGAGTGTTCTGTTTGGTTGTGCTCAGGTTAGTCTGAGTTGCAGAGGGGATTTCCACCACTTGTCCCATCACATACATCGGACAAACCAACAGAAGAATAAGTGCACGCATTGAAGAACATAAGAACTCAGTCAAAAAAGAGGAACCAACATCTTCCCTGGTCCAACACCTTAAAGCCACAGGACATGAAATTGACTTTAAAAATACCAGAACCATTGCCAAAAGTGAACATTTTAATAACAGAATAATCAGAGAAGCCATCGAGATAGAAAAACGCCCACACAGCATGAACAAGCGAGATGATACCTCCCGCCTACCAGCCATTTGGAAACCCGCCCTTATTGACAAACGACTCCCTAACACAAAAAATGATACCAGACCCACACTCACAAAAACCACACAGGAGGTCACCACCACACATCCACGCAAAAAACAAACCCAAAGCCACACCGATGATGAGGCACGACCACAAACCAGAAGCCAGACCACAGCTGCATCATTAGTCACTTTAAACCCCTCCAATCCATACATGAAGCAAACTGACACCCTCCATGAAGAGGAGCACGACCACGAACGCGAAGCCAAGAAAATAGCAAGGCAGCCCAAAATCTTAAACCCCTCTGCAACTCAGACTAACCTGAGCACAACCAAACAGAACACTCCCCCAGCCAATCAGAGCACAGCCAAGCCCCTAACCATTCAGAACACACCTCCACCCAATCAGAACACAGCCAAGCTCCCACCCAATCAGTTCATACCCCCACTGGCAGTTAAAAGGAAGAAACAGCTAAGACCACACATTGCTGCTCAAAGCACGAAGCTGAAAACACCAGCCTGAAGATGACGAATGGGACTTCGTCGAAACGTCGCCAAGACACTTCCAATTTTACGCGGGAGAAAACCCGAACAACCAAAGACCTACATATATATATATATATATATATATATATATATATATATATATATATATATAACTTTATAACAATAGACAGACAGACAGATATACAATAGATAGATAGAAAGAGGATAGACAGAAATACATAGACGATACAATAGAGAGATAGAGATAGACAGAGAGAGACATAGATATAGACGATAGATAGAAATAGATAGATAGACGATAGATAGATATAGATAGATAGATAGATAGACAGACAATAGAGATGATAGAGATAGAAAGAGACATAGACATAGATAGATGATAAAGAGAAACATAGATATGTTGTTGTTAATTGCGAAGTCGTGTCCGACCCATCGCGACCCCATGGGCAACGTTCCTCCAGGTTTACCATCTTCTGGAGTCCATTTAAATTCACACCTACTGCTTCAGTGACTCCATCCAGCCATCTCATTCTCTGTCGTCCCCTTCTTCTATTGCCCTCCATCTTTCCCAGCATCAGGCTCTTCTCCAGGGAGTCCTTCCTTCTCATTAGGTGGCCAAAGTACTTGAGTTTCAACTTCAGGATCTGGCCTTCTAAAGAGCAGTCGGGGTTGATCTCTTCTAGAACTGACCGGTTTGAACGCCTTGCAGTCCAAGGGACTCGCAGGAGTCTTCTCCAGCACCATAGTTCAAAGGCCTCAATTCTTTTGCGCTCAGCCTTTCTTATGGTAATAGATATAGATATATCTATATCTATATAGATATATATATAGATATAGATATAGATATAGATATATATAGATAGATATAGATAAACACAATAGATAGATAGATAGATAGATAGACAGATAGATAGATAGAGAGACAGACAATAGAGATGATAGAGATAGAAAGAGACATAGACATAGATGATAAAGAGAAACAGATATAGATAAACACGATAGATAGATAGATAGATAGATAGATAGATAGATAGATAGATAGATAGACGATAGAGAGATAGAAAGATAGAGATAGACAGACAATAGACAGATAGAGATAGAAAGAGAGATAGACATAGATAGATGATAGAGAGACATAGATATAGATAGATAAACAGATGATAGATAGATGATAGATAGATAGATAGATAGATAGATAGATAGATAGATAGATAGATAGATAGATAGATGATGGACGGACGGACCGACGGACGGATTCCTTTCTGTGGCAGAGCTGGGAGCACTAAGCTCCTGGCCTCTTCTCTTTCCACACAGAAGTGTTTATAAGGATGTTGCTAATTATACCAAGTGCTGTGGAAACTTGTCCACACCTTTGGGGCGAGGTGGTTGTGGGGAAACGAAACACCGACAGTGTGAAAACAAGTCACAGGCTGAGGCTGCTGCTGTTTACTCAGCCTTCTGCTGTTGTTAACCATGCAGAACAGCCCTGCTGGGAGAAGATATTTCCAAGAAAAGAAAAATAGCAAAAACGTATAACCTTAAAAGGAAAGGAAAAAAAAAAAAAAGCACCGTGTTTGGATGACAGGCCAAATATTTCCTAAAAAGAAAACTTCCAGGTGGGCTTTTCTTGCAGGAATAGTTTAGGCTGTGTTTTTTATTTTATTATTTTATTTTATTATTTCATTTCATTATTTTATTTTATTCATTTCATTTCATTACTTATTTTTATTTTTATTTGAAGAATGAGCCATGTGGGTTTGTGTTTTTTTTTAACTGCAGGCCAGGACCCATTAATTCTTCCTAATGGGTAGCTTCCTATTTTTTTTCAAACTGTTCTCAGTGGCTTCTTGGTATCCACATCTGGTTTGGGGGCTGCTGACTCGTTGAGATGGGTAGCATAGAAAAATGAATAAGTAAATAAAAGAAAAAGAAAACAAGAAAGCTCCCACGATCCTAATAAAGGCCTTTCTCCTAATCAAGGCCGCCAAGTGGTTGTGTGGATTGAGGATTTTTATTTTAACCGGTAATCCTAAATATCTAGAACGCCTTCCTTTTGTAGATCAGGGTTAAAAGGAGGAGTCGATGTTCTCTGAGTTTGGTGGTTTTCTTGCAGATGTTTCATTACCCAAACTAGGTAGCATCATCAGTGCTACAAGGGAGGGGGGTTTGCAGAAAGGAGGAGGAGGAGGAGGAGGAGGAGAATGACTATGGGGTCCTTGGTGCTCTCTGAGTTTGGTTGTTTCCCTGCAGACATTTCATGACCCAACTAGGTAACATCATCAGTGCTAGAAAGGAGGGGGTGTGCAGAAAGGAGGAGGAGGAGGAGAATGATTATGGGGTCCTTGGTGCTCTCTGAGTTTGGTTGTTTCCCTGGAGACATTTCATGACCCAACTAGGTAACATCATCAGTGTTAGAAGGGAGTGAGGTTTGCTTTCTGTTTATACTAGCAGTACAGCAGCAGAAAAGATGATGCTACCTAATTTGGGTAGTGAAACATCTGGAAGAAAACAACCAAGCTCAGAGAACCCCCAGGTTTTATCCTAGTTTTAAATGGCTGTCCAGTCTCTTCTTAAAAACTTCCAGTGTTGGAGCATTCACTGCTTCTGGAGGCAGGTGGTTCCACTGGTTAATTGTCCTCACTGTCAGGAAGTTTCTCCTTAGTTCTAGGTTGCTTCTCTCCTTGGTTAGTTTCCACCTGGGCCCAGACTGGATGCCTGGGCCCAGGCTGGAGCAATAAATCAGCAAATTTGAACCTTCGTGTATGGACCTGGCTCTTCACACCTGACACCAGCCAGCCCGTTGCCAGAGTGTGTAGCCTGAGCTGCGGTCCTCCAGATGTGCCAGGTTATCTCTGCCATCCTTTCCCCATCCAAGAGACTGAAACTGCATCTTATCTCAAGGTTGCCAAAGTCCAGGTGAGCCAATGCAGCAGAAGCTGTAAATTTGCTCCACACGGACAGCTCAACAGTTCGTCTCTTGCTGCCGGCAGGAGGGGTGAATAATTTATACAGCCGTTAGCCAGCGCCAGGGAGAGGGACATTAGCATTTTAATGAAAACAATATAGGCATTCTACTAAATCTTTGCATTCTTCTTCTCCTCCTTCTTCTTTCTCTTCCCCCAGAAAAGCCAGTTTGTGTCCAGTGCTTTGAAAACCGCTGACTGACACCGGATAATGTGCTGACTAGCACTATGGGCAGGCGGTACCCCGGGGCCCACTATCGTCAAAGCAATTCATGTACGTATGCAAGAACCGTTCCCGGATAGCCCGTCCGTTGCGTTGCAAAGCCCAAACCAACTGCGATCCGGGTGGTCCTCGACGTACGGCACAATTTCTGTTGCTAAGCCAGACACTTGTTTTTTTTATTGAGAAGTTTTATACAATATACATCCCAAGACCCACCCACCCCTACCCCCTCCTCCCTCACTTCCCAGAGCTGAATACAGGGTTACAAATAAACAATCAAACTCTAAAAAAAACTATGACCCAACTATACAAGTAACCAAGTCCATAACGCACTTTAACTCCCTTATAACATAAATATAAACAAATGAAAAATAAACATAATAATATAAACAAATCAATATTGTTAAACCATACTAAAACTAATAAAAATTAAAAAAGAAACTATTAATAATACTCTAAAGTTTACTCATAGGCTAAATGAAACTTTTTAATCCCATATTTGTTCCTCGGAGTCCTAGTAGACAATCACCTAAATATGAGCCAGCCGTATGCTGCAGCTGCCAAAAAGGCCAACACAGTGCTGGGCTGCATTAACAGAGGGATAGAATCAAGATCATGTGAAGTATTAATACCACTCTACAATGCCTTGGGAAGGCCACACTTGGAATACGGCATCCAGTTTTGGTCACCACGATGTAAAAAAGATGTTGAGACTCTAGAAAGAGTGCAGAGAAGAGCAACAAAGATGATCAGGGGACTGGAGGCTAAAACATATAAGGATCGGTTGCTGGAATTGGGTATGTCTAGTTTAGCGAAGAGAAGGACGAGGGGGGACAGGATAGCAGTATTCCAATCTCTCAGGGGCTGCCATAAAGAAGAGGGAATCAAGCTATTCTCCAAAGCACCTGAAGGCAGGACAAGAAGCAACGGGTGGAAACTAATCAAGGAGAGAAGCAACCTAGAACTAAGGAGAAACTTCCTGACAGTGAGAACAATTAAACGGTGGAACAACCTGCCTCCAGAAGCGGTGAATGCTCCAACACTGGAAGTTTTTAAGAAGAGACTGGACAGCCATTTGTCTGAAATGGTGTAGGGTTTCCTGCCTGAGCAGGGGGTTGGACTAGATGACCTCCAAGGTCCCTTCCAACTTTACTACTATTACACAATCCCATATTTATTCTGAATATAATCTATCCATCTTCTCCAAACCGAAATATATCTTTCTTGTGAGTGATCCTTCAAGTAAGCAGAAATTTTTGCCATTTCTGCTTAAATTTGACACCTTAAGCATCCAATCTTCTACAGTAGGCAAAGAATCTTTCTTCCAATATTGCCCTAACTAATAACCTTGCAGCTGTTATAAAATTCAACATCAAAATAGTTTCTTTAGCATCACAATCTACAATAACACGCAACAAAAATAGTTGTGGCGTGAACCTTCTGAAGCCAGACACTTGTGAAGTGAGTTTTGACCCCTTTTTGCTACTTGTCTAGCCACCGTTGTTAGGGGGGTCCCTGTGGTCGTGCAGTTGGTAACCCCGTTGTTAAGAGAATCCGGGGTTCCCCATCGACTTTGCTTAGTCAGCAAGTCACGAAAAGGGATCCCGGGATTCTGGGACACTGCAACTGTCACAGAGTCAATGTGAGTCGGTCGGGAAAACTCCGATTTTTGTTCACGTGACCACGGGGAATGGTGTGAGGGTCATAAGTGCAAAAAAAGGTCAGAAGTCACTTTTCCCCAGTGCCGTTGTAATTTTGAACCGTCACTAAATGAACTGTTGTAAGTGGGGGACTTACCTGTATTCAATTCAGTTGCAGCACATGGCTGGCTCATATTTAAGTGATCATCCATTAGGACAGAAGAGACCGGATAGCCATTTGTCTGAAATGGTATAGGGTTTCCTGCCTGAGCAGGGGGTTGGTCTAGATGACCTCCAAGATCCCTTCCAACGTTATTATTATTATGGATCATCGCACAGTCAGCCAGATGTTCAGACTGGATTTGGCATTTTGTCTACCTATCGAGTCCTTACCAAGGACCTGGGATAGGCAGATATGGATGTTTGATGGTATTACAGATATCGTCGCAGGATGGAAGCAGTTCCTAGTAAGGCCGCCTTTTGCAATTGACTAATAGCGAATTTGTCAATGCCAGTGGTGTTCAAGTGGTGCTCCAGTTGTTTTGGGATTGCACCCAAGGTGCCTATTACTATTGTTGTTATTATTATTATTATCATCATCATCATCATATCATCATCATCATCATCATTATCATCATCATCATCATCTTGAGACCCTAGAAGTGACAGTGGACATACAATTAGATATAGATGCAATAGGTGCAACTTTAAGCATTTACTTCCAAGTTGGTCAGTGTTTCTCTAACTTTAAGTGTGTAGACTTCAAGCCCCAGAATTGCCCAGATAGCCAGAAGTGGCTGGGGAATTCTGGGATTTGAAGTCCATGCCTCTTAAAAGTGGCCAAGTTATAGTAGTAGTAGTGGTAGTAGTAGTAGTAGTAGTAGTAGTAGAAGAAGAAGAAGAAGAAGAAGAAGAAGAAGAAGAAGAAGAAGAAGAAGAAGAAGAAGAAGAAGAAGAAGAAGAAGAAGAAGAAGAAGAAGAAGAATGATGTTGGAAGGGACCTTGGAGGTCATCTAGTCCAACTCCCTGCTCAGGCAGGAAACCCTACACCATTTCAGACACATGGCTGTCCAGTCTCTTCTTAAAAACGTCCAGTGTTGGAGCATTCACCGCTTCTGGAGGCAGGTTGTTCCACTGATTAATTGTTCTAACTGTCAGGAAGTTTCTCCTTAGTTCTAGGTTGCTTTTCTCCTTGATTAGTTTCCATCCGTTGCTTCTTGTCCTGCCTTCAGGCGCTTTGGAGAAGAGCTTGACTCCCTCTTCTTTGGGGCAGCCCCTGAGATACTGGCACACTGCTATCATGTCCCCCCTCGTCCTTCTCTTCATCAAACTAGACATCCCCAGTTCCAGCAACTGTTCCTTATATGTTTTAGCCTCCAGTCTCCTGATCCTCTTTGTTACTCTTCTCTGCCCTCTTTCTAGAGTGTCAACATCTAGTTTGAGAAATGTTCTCCTGGAAATCATTAAGACTTTAGAAATATCAGAATTGATGGACCAGTGATTGCCGTAACCCTAACGGTAATTAAAATTAATCCAGCCTAAGATGGGCCAATATAGTTGATCTGAATGGATGGATTGTCCGCCTTAACTAACAAACGCGACGTAAATTCTGCAAACTGAGAATGGCTATGTAACAACACGCCGTGTCGAGGTTTAATTTTTGTATGATCGAGATCAAATTCCAGTTCATGGATGCAGGTCCGATTCCACGGTGATTTTGATTTGTGGAGTTGGAGAAATCGGCGGAAATCGGAAAACGAAAGAAAGTCTTATTTTTTCAGAATCCTGATGGGGATATTTAAAGAAAAAATCTTTAATCTCTGCCTCCAGTTGTGAACCTCTGCCGTAAATATTGAGTCCTTTCAAGACCAACACGTTGCCCTTGCACGCAACCCCAAAATTAAAAGTCCCGGCTCCGTTGGGTTTTTCCATAAGAAGGCGAAAGTTTTAGAGGCTGTACTCATTTGCAGTAAATAAAGGGTGCCAGCCTGCAGCAGCTATAAAATATCCTTCTTGGCTGCGTTTCACAAGCTGCAACTTTCCTTCTCTGCCCTTTGTGATAATTCTCTTTAGTCATTTTATAGCCTTTTAAAAAAATATCCCAGAGTTACAGATTTAGAGAACACAGATTTACATCCTTCCAAAAAGGGGAACGGTGTAAATATTCTTACATAGTGAGGACCTTTAATGATTAGAATTGGACATTCCTTCAGAGTGTTGTTTTTTTTTTTTTTAAAAAAAAAGAGCTAATAAATTTTCCACTCGTTGTAGCCAGCCTTTATGCGGGTTGTAATTTAATCCGACTTTCAGTAAGAGAGAGTTGAAGTTTACCAGGTTTTTGGGCCGGCGTTAAAGTAGGAGCAGAGAACTTATTAGATTTTTCTTTTTCTTTGCCTGCTCCTTCTTTTTTCTTTGACAGGTAGTTCTTGAATTACAATCATGTCTTTAGCAGCCGTTCCAACCAGCATGAAAAAACTGACCTACGACCCTTTTTCATACTTACGACCGACGCAGCATCCCGTTGCGTTCACATGTTGTGCTTGGCAACTGACTCACTTTTGAGGACAGTTTGCAGTGTCCCCGGGGAGGAGGGGGGGTCACGTGATCCTCTTTTGCGACACCCTGACAAGCAAAGTCAACGAGGGAAGCTGGATTCAAAGGTCGTAAAACGGGGCAACAGCCTGGAAAGGTTGTCCTAAATGACCGTAATAAGACCTTGATCCCAATTGAAGACGTTGGAGAAGATGAACAATCTTGAGCAGTGGTTCTCAACCTTTTTAATGCTGCGACCCCCAACCGGTCGTAAGTCGAGGACTACTCAACCGGTCGTAAGTCGAGGACTACTCAACTGGTGCAGCACCGTTTGCAGAATGGGACTTTTGGCGGGCTCAGCAGGGCAGAGACAGCCTGGACAATTCCTATTGGCTTTTGAAAGCCAAGAGAATTAGACTCTATTCAAGAGAGTCTATTCTATTGGCTTTCAAAAGCCAATAGAATAAAAGGGAGTAGCACAGCTAAGGAAAAGGGGGAAAAAATGGCGGACTGCGTTGTTTGGCAACCCCCGCAAAATGGTCGTTCGACCCAAATGGGGTCCCGACCCACAGGTTGAGAACCACTGCTCTTGAGGCTTTGGCACAGGTTGTGATCTGCACCAGGTCGTTGCAGACTTTGTATGTCTCACCCGCCTTTGTGTTCCTTCTCTCTAGTTGATTCCGGTGTGGAAACCTTGGCGGGGTTTATGGCAAGCAACGGCACGACAGACGTTGTGAACCGGAATGGGCCCGCCACTCCCCCCAACACCCTTCAGCTGCGCTCCTCTCACAACGAACTGCTGAATGCCGAAATCAAGCACACGGAGGTCAAGCACAGCACCCCTCCCAAATGCAGAAAAAAATACGCCCTGACCAACATTCAGACAGCCATGGGTCTTTCCGACCCCGCAGCCCAACCTTTGCTGGGTAGCAATTCCTCCAACATAAAGCTGGTGAAAAACGGAGAAAACCAGCTTAGGAAAGCGGCAGAACAAGGACAGCAGGACCCCAATAAAAACCTGGCCGCTCCGTCGGTGACCGCCGGTCTAAACATAACTTCTGAGAAGTTGGAGGGGAAGGAACCAAGTCAACAGGACTCTTCCGGCGGCGAAATCCTGCCCGCCCAACACCGAAGAACTAAGAGCTTCCTAAACTACTATGCAGATCTTGAGACATCAGCCAGGGAGGTGGAGCAGAATAATGGCGAGAGCCAGGTGGTGGCGGCGGAGGAGAAATTGCCTTCACAGTGCAATAGCCAAGCATCCGTGGTTGTGGCGAACGGCGATCCCTTGCCTCCAAAGCAAGACAAGGCAGCGAGTCCTGAAGATGGGCCAACAGCAGCCGTCTCTTCCAGCCCGGAGACGAAAAAGGATCACCCTAAAACTGGCGCCAAGACAGATTGTGCACTACACAGGATTCAGAACCTGGCTCCGAGTGATGAGGACTCTAGCTGGACCACCTTGTCTCAAGACAGTGCTTCTCTGAGTTCCCCGGAGGAAACAGGTAAGGATGCTTCCTTGAGGTGCTTTGGACCCAGGTAGAGACAGGTGAGGCAAGAAAGACGATGTACCTAAGTGTAAGGAGAAGTGTGAAGGAGAAGAGCAGACAGAGCTGAAGGGCGGAGTAAAGCACGCCATCAGCTTAGAATAGAGAATAGAACAGAATAGAACAACAGTACAGAAAATGGAGTAGAAAGTGGAATGGAGTGGAACGGAATGGAGTGAGTGAAACAGAGTGGAATGGAATGGAATAGAATATGGAGTGGAGTGGGATAGGATGGGATGGAACGGAACAGAACAGAACAACAGAACAGAAAATGGAATAGAAAATGGAACGGAATAGAGTGGAATGGAATGGAATAGAATATGGAGTGGAGTGGGATAGGATGGGATGGAACGGAACAGAACAGAACAGAACAACAGAACAGAAAATGGAATAGAAAATGGAACGGAATAGAGTGGAATGGAATCGAATAGAATATGGAGTGGAGTGGGATAGGATGGGATGGAACGGAACAGAACAGAATAACAACAACAAAACAGAAAATGGAATAGAAAATGGAACGGAATGGAATGGAATAGAGTGGAATGGAATGGAATAGAATACGGAGTGGAGTGGGATGGGATGGGATAGAATAGAGTAGAATACTGTAGATTAGTGGTGGGATTTTTTTGTTTTTTGTTTTAAACAATTAAACAACTGTTTGTTAAGTCAAGGATTACCTTCATTATGTTTTATTTGGGCCATCTGCTTTCTGAATGGCCCACAAACAGGAAGATCAGCCCAGTGATGTGGCTAGTGATTAAAATACAGGCAGTCCTTGACTTACGACGGCAACTGAGCCCAATATTTCGGTGGCTAAGTGAAAGCATTGTTAAGGGAATTTTGCCCCATTTTACCGTCACCTTCCTTGCCGCAGTTTGTTAAGCGAATCACTGCAGTTGTTAAGCTAGTCGCCCGGTCGTTAAGTGAACCTGGTCACAAAAGGGGATTACATCCCCCCCCCCCGTGGACGCTGCGACCGTCATAAATATGAACCAGTTGCCAAGCATCCGATTTTTGATCCCACAATCATGGGGATCTTTGCAAAGGTCGTCACTCTGAAAAACAGTGGTAAGTCGCATTTTTGAACGGTCACTAAACGAACGCTGAACTGTAGCGTGAAAAAAAGTAGCCACCGTTGTCCAGCTCTACAGCAGGTCTGCTCTGGCCTTGCCTACAGAGATTGAAGTTCTTACGTGGTCCTCTCTGTTTAACTGCGTACCAGGAGGCCAACCAAATTCCTAGCAGATTTGTGATGCTTTTCCTTTTGTTTTTTTTTAATCGCCCTCCGATCAATTCGTCAAAAGCCATAAAAAGATCCTGAAATCCCGGAAAGACCGTCAAGCCATTAAAAGAGGCCACGTTCTCAACCTGATGGGTCCAATTGATCCACGGGCGGCACCGTGGCACTTGGAACATTAACCTTGAACATTGGCCAGACTTAGCTTGGCTTCATGGAGACTTTGCTGTACGGCTTGTTTCATGTTGACAGGTGGACAGATCAGAAGTCTACCTTTTGGAAGTCCTTTTTTGCGCTTGTTGGCTCTAGGGCTCAGACGAGTCTTGATTATGGAGTCGTAGAGCTGGGAGGGGCCTTGGAGGTCTTCTAGTCTAGCCCCCTGCCCAAGGCAGGAGTCCTTATTGTATGCCAGACAAAGGGTGGAACAGTTCTGTCCCAGCTTACGTGAGTCCTTGTTAAACTCACAAGGAGAAACCCTTCTTCCAACAAGCAGGCTGGAACCGCAGGAAAAAAGCAATCCCCTTTTATTATTCGCAGAAGTGAGTCCATGTCCAAGGCAAACAAACACAGTTCACAGAGACTCAATTCCTCAACATGAACGGTTGCCTTAGGCAACCAGCACCTCCCATACCTTCCCTTTTATTATGCAGCCAAGGCGTGTCTCCTTAATGCCTTCTCCTTTGCCTTTGGAGCCGCCCCATTGCATTCCTCTGTCCTACTCTCTTTGTCGGCGTTTTCATGCATCCTGGATTTGTCCCAGCTGTTCTTCATCACTGTCCAACTCAGGCTCCCAGCACAGCTGTGTCTCAGTCTGAGCGCGAGTAGAGGGGCCAGGCTCCTCATCAGACTGTAAGTCTTAGAGCTCCTCAGAGCCTTCCTCTGACTCTGATGTCACTCCAGGCCCCTCCTCCTTCTTCTCCTCCTCCTCCTCCTCTGATTCCCCAGATTCAGCTGCCGGGTCCACTGGCTGGCGAGGAATCACAACAGGAACAGCTTGCCTCCAGAAGTTGTGGGTGCTCCATCACTGGAGGCTTTTAAGAAGAGACTGGACAGTCACTTACTTGTCCGAAATGGTATAGGGCAGTGGTGGCGAACCTATGGCATGGGTGCCAGAGGCGGCACTCAGAATCCTCTCTGTGGGCACGCGCGCCGTCGCCCCAGTCCTAGGCCTTCAGCTGGGTTTTATAAAACCTTTTCGCTTTCGGCCTCAATCAGTCAATTTCAACTTCTCACAAGAAAAAAATAGATCTTGCAAAGTTGGAATTGATTGATTGAACTTTTTAGTCCCACCCGGTCTGCCGTTACCACTGCAGCCACGCTCATCCAATGGGCCACGCCCACCCAATGGGCTACACCCACCCGGCACCCGACGATGCATAAGAGGGTTTTGGGTTGCAGTTTGGGCACTCAGTCTCTAAAAGGTTCGCCATCACTGGTATAGGGGGGCTGGACTAGAAGACCTCTAAGGTCCCTTCCAGCTCTATTCTATTCTACTCTCTCTTGCGTTTCTCTGGAGTAGCTTCTCTGGCTAATTTCTAGACCTTTTCCCCTGCTCCTTTAACGATTCAACTCCTCCTCCAAAATCCCTGAGGTGGCATCTGGCGTTTGCCCAAGTCCCTGTTTACCAAGCAGGAAATGGTACGGGAAGAAACAGACATAATTTAATTCAGACCTCCCTTTAAAAAAAGAAAGAAAGAAAAAAAGGCCCTTAAAAAGCCACCGTTTTTTCAGCCTAGGAAATAAGTCATTGAAAGAAGAGTGAATTTGGCCTGATAAAGAGATGCTTCAGCACTTTCTCTCTGGACTAGCGGGACCGTTCCTGCCAAAACGGCGGGCTTGATCTATGCTCCCCAGTGGATATTTTAAAAATATAGCAAGACGGGGGAAGGCTTGAATTTAAACAAGCCACTAGGCAAAAATCTATAAATTTAGTGTTCGGGAAAGTTAAAACTGGTTTCTGGATGGTCTTAGGAGCAAATTACCACACAAGGGAGACATACATGAAGGAAAGACTGAACGCATTTTTTCTCCATGAATAAAATTGATGGGAGAAGATCCGATTTGTCGGTCTCGTCCAAAATACCATGTTTGCAGGCTGCGTTCCATTAGTCTGTCGAAAGTAATAAATTTTGATTTTTGATAGGGCCGAGAGGTGTAGAGAGAGAGAGAGAGACTATACAGTAGACCTCTGCTTGTTGTTGCACCTGAGTTGTAATAAACGGCACTCTGAGGGAACAGCCAGGAATACGTTCACGATCCACCATTTTGTAGTCTTGCACAATTCAGATGCTTCTTTAGTGTAAACGGTGATCTGTGGAAGATTATTTCTAATACAGGTGACCCTCAACTTACCGTATATTCCGGCGTATAAGACGACTTTTGAGAGCGTTGAAACAGGCGCCGAACCCGGGGGTCGTCTTATACGCCGAGTCGTCTTATACGCCGGAAATAAGGTAGTTTCTGGCGTATAAGACGACTTTCTAGGCATGCAACTCGGCGTCGATCGTCTTATACGTCGGAAATAACATAGTTTCCGGCGTATAAGACAACTTTCGAGGCATGCGACTCGGCGTCGATCGTCTTATACGCCGGAAATAACATAGTTTCCGGCATATAAGACAACTTTCTAGGCATGCAACTCGGCGTCGATTGTCTTATACGCCGGAAATACCGGTAGTTTCTGGCGTATAAGATGACTTTCTAGGCATACGACTCGGCGTCGATCATCTTATACGCCGGAAATACCGGTAGTTTCTGGCGTATAAGATGACTTTCTAGGCATGCGACTCGGCGTCGATCATCTTATACGCCGGAAATAACATAGTTTCCGGCGTATAAGATGACTTTCTAGGCATGCGACTCGGCGTCGATCATCTTATACGCCGGAAATACCGGTAGTTTCTGGCATATAAGACGACTTTCTAGGCATGCGACTCGGCGTCGAACTCGGGGGTCGTCTTATACGCCGGGTCACCCTATACGCCAGAATATACGGTACACCTTAACAGTTGAGCCCAAAATTTCTGTTGCTAAGCGAGATGGCGGTTAAAGTGAATTTTGCCTCATTTTACGACCTCCAGGATTTTCTGGAGACAATCTGCTCTATGTTTGAACATCTTTAGAAAGTCTAAATCGGACGTTTTGCACCTCTGATCTGAAATTCTGGATTTGGGGTCTTCATTCCTTTGGGGGGGGGCGGTTCTTTCCCTTGACCCAGCTGTCCTGGAGGGATGATTGTTGTTGTTAACGATAAGATTCTTGTTGTTATGAACGACTAGATCATTACAGGCATCTAGTTTTTTGTTTCTGTTGGGTTTTGAGGTTACAGAGGTTCTAGACAGGTTACAACCCAAGAGTGTTGATGCCAGGCAAATAATTTCACCATCCGTAATCACTCACACAGCTTATTAAGTTTTCTTAGAAATTTCAGAATTTCTTGGAATTCTGTGGTAAAATCAGTTAAATCACCCGCATTCCGAGAATAATATAGGTTAGGAATGGAAAAGGTGTTTCACTGTGTTCGGGACACTTGCCATATGAAGAGCATATAGTTTGGAACCAACTATGACATCATTGTCAAATGGAAATTCGAAGAAATAATAGGCCACAATATTGGACATACATTTTGTCTATCATGGGGTAGGCAACCTTGGCTCTTTTATGACTGGTGGACTTCAACTCCCAGAATTCCTGAGCCAGCCTGGCTTAGCTTGGAAACCTC